TGTGGGCTACAGTGGCTTTTTCAAGCTGACCTGTGTAGAGGGAAAATGGCAACACAGAGGCACTAATTGTCAACGTAAGTTAACATTCACTTATGAATGTCATCTTTGCCTTACCAAAGCAGCGTAAACATCATTAGCTTGTTTGAGTTATTGCTCGAAAATTCATATCACAGACTGCAATGCTGAACAATATGTAGTGTACTTTTATGAAATGTACAGCAAATTCCACTTTTCTCTGTGGTACTTTTACCCACATTTTGTCTTATTTGCTTTAAGCGAAATCATGTGGTCATCCTGGCGAAGCCCAGTTTGCCGATTTTCAACTTAGAAAGGGGGACGATTTTGTCTTTGGCTCAGAAGTTGTATACACCTGCCAGAAAGGGTATCATAATAATTTTAATCACATTTTCCTTGTGATTTTATTTGTTTTGTGTTTCTTAATCTGCATAGTTATGCATGCTCTGTGCATACTATCTGTACATTTGGCTTTTCTTTTAGTCATCTCCATGAATTCTCTATTATAAACCTGATTCAGATTTCAAATGGTCAGTCGAACAAACTTCCGACGTTGTATGGCAGAAGGCTGGGATGGCGTTGTCCCCGTCTGTGAAGGTAGGAGCTGATATAAATGAAGTTATGCAATCAGTAATATACACGTAGAAAGAAATAGCAACCTGTGTTTATGTTTTTGTCTGACTTTGAGGGGTTTTTTCCTAATGTTTTTAACTCCAGCTCAGCAGTGTCCATCAATTAATGTTCCCAAAGATGTGAACGTGATGGGTGATGCAGAAGAAGCTACCTTCGGCAATGTAGTTCGATTTAGCTGCAAGTCCAACAATCACATTATGAAAGGGGCAAGAGAAATTTATTGTGATGAAAATGGAGACTGGAAAGGCTTGGAGGCCGGCAATCCAAAATGTGAAGGTAAAGTGAAGCTGGCTTACTATTGTTACTATTACTTTGTTCTCGAGTAATTAGGTAGTAACACCCAAACAATCACCAACCCCCTGAAAGAGAATAGAGGAGCAACTCTATATTGTATATTCAATTTTGAGCTATTATGAAACACTTAGTTTCGTAATAGTGACACATTTAACACTATTTTATAACTAAAATGGTGTTAAATGTGTCACACAAATGTATCTGTGCCATGTGTAATGCTGTATTTTATTTAGGCCAAAATTTAGAATTAAATAATTATCACTTGTATACAAAATTAGTTTATTTGTACTAAAGTTACAAGAATAGAAAATGAAAACAGAATACATTTAGAGCAAAAAAACCCAAACAATTTTTGTACTTAAGTATTAGATAGTTTGGGGGAATATTTGCCTATTTGGTTATAATAAAGGTACCACTGCTATGGACATAGGAAGTCCAAAAATATCAGCTTCAAACAAAAACAAAAAAACACGAACAACATCATAAAATTGGCCTACAAGTGTAATTAATGAGAAAAACATTGCAGCTGCTTTGCTTGTTTTTCAGTAAAATGATCACTTTCACTTTTCTATTTTATCAAAAAAGCTTCCTTTCACAACAGGTTAATCAGCGGTTACCTTTTATGTACCTTTCTATCAGCAGTTGCTGTAGTTTTATTCCTGACTCTGACTTTATCCTTCAACAGTTGTAAAATGTGAACCACCGAGGATTGAAAATGGTTTTGTACCTGGAGATATCAAAGAGTACAATGAACGTGATATCCTAAACTTTGAATGCAATCCTCAATATAAACGTGCTCAAGATTTACCTTCAATCTGCACAAAGACAAGAGACAGAGCAGAGTGGATCCCCACACCTGAATGTCAAGGTAAACATAGACAGAATTACATACAGTTTATACATTAAATGCCACTGACTAGTGAGATCTGGAGCTGGATGTTTGGATGTGATGGTATTGCTCTGTCTTGGTACAACACACTAACACATGTGCTTCATTTCCCAACATATGCAGAAATAAAATGTGAGCTGACACTGCCACCACTACAAGGAACCACATATGAACCTGCTCATAGAAGTAGGTTTTCACCTGGTGAAAAGGTAACAGTTACATGTGAGGAGAGATACTGGATTGGGACAACCCGCACGCGCTCAGTTGAGACTACTTGCAAAAAGGATGGACAGTGGTCTGTCAGACCAGTATGTCAAGGTATAAAACTACAAAAGCTTTAGACACATACAGTATTCTAAGCTCACTGTTCTTTGCTTTGATGTAGTTCAATCAGCCATGAGGATGATGAACAATTTTTTGAAGATTATCAAGTCTTTCTTTCTTTCCAGAGGTTACATGCAGCCGTCCACAAGATAGACCTTTGTCCTACTGGGAGCGCTCTTGGCCTGATGAGACAAAGAAATTGGGTGATACTGTCTGGTACACATGTAGATCAGGATACAAGAAGAAAGATGACGTCACTCGGGCCACATGCACCAGAGATGGATGGGAACCAAATCCACTTTGTCAAGGTATGGTGAAGTTTAGTTCACTTTTCTTCTAATTCTGACATGATCTTTTTAATTTCTTTAATATTAGTCCATATTTGAGAAAACAGGAGAGGATTGCAGAATATCTTTGGTCAAAAGAAGCCTCAAAGGATCATTCAGTCATAGAGTAAAAACATGCGAGCCAGCAATATAAATATTAGAGACTCTGTGTGATAGTTCATAGTGAAAGAAAATGGTAATAACATTCTTTTTTTTGTTTATTTGTGTACTAACCAAGCACTAACCGAAAGAGTGTAAAAATACTCACTGGATACTATTTTCTGTACAGACTGCAAGAAACATTTTTACTGCAACAACAACTTTCA